CCTCAGTGAGGGCGATTTGCTTTCCCTTTCCACAGGAGGAAGTGGCTGCTGGGGAAATCCTCACCCCAGAGCCCCGGGAGGGAGYGGAGCTTCCAGATGGGACCTGAGCAACAACGGGGAATGTTTGGCCAGGACAAACCAGCCTTTGTTMGGCTGGAAATGAACCCCAGGCTGCTCAGACCTGAGCACATCCACAGCCTGGCTCCTGTCAGTGAATCCCAGCCACAGCACAACGAGCAGCAGGGAGAATTCCAGAGGATCCCACATGGATGGGGTTGGAARGGAYCTCAATCCCATCCAGGGACATTTCCACAATCCCGGGGTGCTCCAAGCTGCCCTGGACACTGCAGGGATGGGGCACCACAGCTGCTCTGGGAAACGTTTAAATTCCTCTCAAATATTTAAGAAAATCGATCCTTATGTTTATTGAATTTTAGGAGATAATGGGAATAAAATTTTCTGAAAAAAAACCCCAAAACCAGCAGGAAATGTTTCTGCTCTACTCCTACTTTTGTCAGTTGTACACTAACACATTTTAACCCTCTTGAACTATTAATTAAATATATTAATTAAATGTATTAATTAAAGGGAAAGGAAGTTCTTACAGATTAAATCCATCACATTTTCCTACAAAATGAAGCATTCTGGATTGCTCAACTCAACTTTTCAAAGACACCAGAAACAGCAGAGTAGAAGTTTACACCTCCAATATTCCTCAGCTTCAAATAAAGTTATTTATTTAATTAGCTTTAATTATAATCACAGGGATAATACTGCATTAAGCAAAACATGATCAATAGAAGTTATTATTTAAGGTGCCCCCTGCCAAAAGGCACAACAAACTTAAATTACCTGGTGAGGGCAGCAAAATTGTACCCAGAACCTTTAAAAAAAACGATTTAATTTCTGATTTTATCAGTCCTAAGCCTGCTGAAAGGAGCAGGTCTGAGCAGATCCTTGGTGCCTGTTCCACCTCTGAGAGTCGCTGTGGCAACAGGGCCATCCCCGWCCCCAAAAATGCCATTTCTGAAGCCAAAATAAGGACCAGGATGACCACAGAAGTATGCAAAAATAGAAATACACCCGGATTTAAAACAAAACCACCATAAACYGCTTTTTTTTCTTGCCAGGACGGACAAACCAGTACCTGAATGTGCTCTCCAGATTTTTATTTTTTTTTTTACTTTGACTTCAAAGGTTTTTCAAACATGTTTAGACAAAAAAAATTAATAACCCTCTTGTCTAGATTTTTAGCTTATGARGCTTATTTTGGGGTGGTTTTTCTTCTCCTTGGCCACATATTCTTTACTGGGAGTTCTGGAGTGATCACAGCCCATTAAGGGCTTAAAATTAAACTTTATTTTAAATCATTTAAATGTATAGTCTGAGTGTACACAGAGAAGATTTTACTACTGAATATAATTCTGATCTCTCAGTGCCCAAATTGGGTAAACTCCACCAAATCCAAGAGTTGTAAATAAACAAACAAACAGTAAATGAACAGCCCAGGGCTCTCTGCTTTACAAACACAGCGAGCTGAGCACCTTCCTGCTGGCACCGAGCACTTTCAGGCACAAAAAATGATTTAATTTGCACTGGGACAAACCCCCAGGACAGGATAAAACCTCCCTGAGTCCAGCACCACACACCTGTGGAGCTGAATGTGCTCCCTGCTCCCACTCTGCTGCACTCACAAACACAGATGGGGCACATTTGGCAAATAAAAGCGTGAAAAACAGGCCCAGGATATTTGGGTTGGGGATAAAAACTCACCTGAAACTTTCAACTTTGCTTTAAACTCATCCCTTAACACGTGGATGATGYACAAGCATTTAATGGCTAAAAATGGGATTTCAAAGGTCTGTGAGGAAAACAAATATTCCATGATTTTTGAACGGGAGAAAAGTGGGGCTTTTAAAAAAATATGGGAGAGTTCTTCRGTGTTTTTGTTGTTTACTACAGGCACTCTGAGATTGTTATCTTCATTTGCACCACTTCTTGTGAGTTGTGAATTGCTAAATAAATACAATTTAATTGTCTTTTATGCGCCAACCATCAACAGACGGTAATAAATTTCAAAAAAAACAACCTAAAACCTGTTTTTATACCACGAGGAAGTAGAGCTCAGTACTTGACTCAGGCCTGCCCTTTCTGTACAAACCMCACACAAACCAGCCCAACAACTGTGCAGCAAAAAAGGAAAAGAAGGAAAAAAATACCAACAAGAAAAAGAAATTAAAGCTTATTTTAGGGACAGGAAATAAAAAAAGCCGAATTTCCTCAGCACCCAACTTTCCATAACCGAACACCACCCAAAGCCGTGTTTGTTTTAAGGAAAAAGAACCAGAASTGACACCCAGCCTCGGTGGGTTTTTTTTCAATTAACGACACAACGATCGCGACACGGCCGCAAGTTTTCTCCGTGGAATAACTCGAACAATTGGCGCTGCCGGGGCTGCTCCACACGCGGCTCGGGAGGGCCCGAGAAGCCAACCCCGCCCGCCCCTTCCCTTCCCTTCCCTTCCCTTCCCTTCCCTTCCCTTCCCTTCCCTTCCCTTCCCTTCCCTTCCCT